TGGGGAATTTATTGGCAACCTGCATAAACTTTTAGCTATTTTTGATATAATAGATGATATTGATTATGATAATCAACTATATTACTTCAAAAATAATTTCCACTTGAAAGTCAAAAAAAAAGCCTAAATTAATTAATTTCACTTCATTTTATTATAATGCATGGTTATTTTAATTGGGCCCAGATTAAAAATACAAAAAATTAAATGACAAATTGAATGATTTAGAATGTGTTTGCATAAATTAATGTCATAATAAAAATAATAACGGTTAACAACAATGGATAACGCAATCAATTTCATTCAAAATCTTGATAAAAAATTGAAATTTTTGTCATTTCCTTATTTTCCTGAGTTTTTTCCTTTCTCTTCCCATTTTACACGATAATTTATTCATTTCAACTATGGTGCCTATAATATTTTTCAATATTTCTTTTTTCATTTCTCTTCTGATGTACAATATATTTTTTTCCTTGTATTATTGCAATTATTTATGTTGTTTTACTTCTTATTTATTCCAAATTTGTTTATATTTCCTGCTCAACAAATATTTATTTGTATAAAATTATTTTTTCTTTTCCTTTTTTTTGCTTATTTGTTTGTTTGTTTGTTTGTTTTTGTAAATTGTCGCAGTTTGATTAAGTAATATATAATGTGCCTAATAGCTAAAATAATAATGCTTCATTAATAAAATGGACAATGTATCTTACAGCTGAAATAATAATGTTTCTTCAGCTAGACAAATGGTAATTACACCTTGAAATAGCACATTAGAGGAATGGACACGGACTATTGCTACATCACCAATGATTTTATTTTTTGTTTATGAAATAGAAATATATTATCGTTATTTATGAGAGCTTTCATCACAGTATCTGACAATTACCTTAGAAATAATGTTTAACCAGTTGACAATTTGGTTTATTTGGGCATTTAAAATTTGCAATGTTTTTAATTTGTCGCATATAGCAGTATTTATTCGAAATGTAATGTTTTTTTGACTGGAAAAGGAAAAGACAAAATATGGTAAAACCGTAAAATTGATTAAAGCGAAAATGAAACAAAACAAAGTTGGAATTCATTTTCCATTGTGGAATTGACAAAAAAGGAAAGAAAGCTGGAATTAGTGCTAGAAATGATAAAACAGGACAAGTTAGAAGGACAAGTAGGATTTATCTCTTTCTCTTCTGACGAAAAATTTAATTAAATTGATAATGAATGAATGGAATTTGTCTGAAAAGAAATATCATAAGTAATAATTAGATTTATGATAAGGAATTCCACAAATGAATTAAACAATATCCTGATAAAAAAGGAAAAAAAGACCCAGTATTTCTGAATTTTTTTTCATCAAAATTACTTTTAATTACCTGTTATAATAGAAGGAATTAATTCTACTTCCAATTCATTTCTCATCCTTTACCTAATACTTATTAAAGTAATTCCCTTAATGCGTTAAAAAATATGCGTTAAAAAACTTGAATAGATGAGAAAAAATTTAATTTTATCAATTCAATGCTAAAGCAGATCAAACTGTAATCGAACTGTTTTAAATATTTCTTTCGTCAAGATAAATTTGCTATTTCACAGTAATTATAGCAGCAGCTATTGTACTAATTAAAGCAATTATCTGCCTATGCTAATAATTCGTATTGATAAACGAAAAGAAAAAAAATTACTAGCATAGCATTTGAAAGGAAGAACTATGCAATGATATTATTTCAAAAGCTTTAATTATACAATAAAATTAGGGCAAAACTGGATATTTGAGATAACAATCAATGCATCCAGATAAGTTATATGAAATATTCAAGATAATTTGCACGAGAAAAAAATATGCGAGCAGAAGCCCTACTCTGAATTTCACTTGGATGATCCCAGTAACAGGAAGATCCCGTTATCTTAAATTTCAATTGAAAGATCCCGCATCCTGAATGTTTGTAATGAATGATTTCACTCATCATATTTTGCATACAACAATACTAGAAATGGAAGACTTAAAGGTTTGAAGGATTAGCTCTGACCAGATTGTATGCAAATGTCAACATCGGATTAATAAATGATTGAGATGAAAAAATCAGCTTTGTAGAAGAAAGATCAAAATATGCTGACAATATTTGAATAAAAATGTTGCAATTGGTCGATAATCAAATTTGCAAACCATTCAAAAGTTATGATTAAAGTTACTACCAAAAGTTATTATTAAAATTTAATTTCGTATTTATCATTTTACATTGCAAATATTTTATATAATTAATGTTATTTAATTACAAATACTTTACAGGATTGAAGTTATCCAATTTTTCCCTTCAGAGAAAAAAATGAAATGTAAAATAAGATGTTTCATTTAAATTTAACTATCCCACCTCATTTACTCACACCACCAAACTCCCTCCAATGTTTCACATTTTTAAAGCTGATGGCCGAAACCATTGAAATGGTAAAACACGAGCCGTCCTTAATTTGTGAAATTGACGTTTTAGGGGTACGTAATCCGGGTGAGAAAGGGATGTGATGTTTTGAGCCTGTTGTGTAGGGTGGGTTTTTTTAGGCTAGGTTTTCATGGCGTAAATGATTTCTTGGAACGTTGGAAATTTCTAATCGTTTAAATGTTTTCTATATTTTACACATGAAAATATAGTTGAATTCTGTCCTTCGGGAAACATGCCAACTTTTTCGGAAATCTTCTAAAGGAAGTCTTTTAAAAGAAATATCTCATTTCTGGAAATCTTTCAAGCGAAAACAAAATACTTCATTCTTTGCTTCGACTTTTTCTTCAAAACTGAAGCATGAAAGATTGCTCTGTTTTCGATCCTCCAAGATACCATGATGTGAAAGTTACAAGATAGAATGTTCCTTATTTGAATTTCATGCTATTTATGAAGAAAGGATACATTTCCTCTTGTAATCATTCTGATGTTTATGAAGAAGCCACAGTTTTAGTTTGCAATTGTATCCAGTTTCGGAATTGGAATTTGTGACTAATGCTAAAGTTAGAATTATTGTAGGCAGAAGGTTAAGTTTTTCCGATAATCTAAAAGTATTATATTTTCCACGAAAGATAAGGTGGTGATTGGCTAATTGATGTATTCTTTTTAATCACGGGTTGTATTACCACAATGGAGCAGAAATATACGTACCACAAGTTCTTATTGTTTTTGTTGCGGAATGTGTTGCTATTACTTCCTGAATTTCATTATTTATTATTATCATTACATTCCGGAAGGTCTTCATCTTCAGTGATATATTTCGTATTATGCTTCATGTTGTTATTGTTTCCTTATTATTACTTTTTGTTCGTCATTGTTATTTTGTATTTTAGGTCCATTTTTCAAAGATAAAGATGGGAAGTGAATCATTCCTATCGAGTGCTTTTTCACGACAGCGAATCGTTACAGCAGCTGGTATTGCTGCTGCCGCATTTATTGGTTACTGCATTTATTTCGACCATAAAAGGCGTTCGGCGCCTGATTATAAGCAGAAAATACGTGAACGTAAGTAATATTAACTCTCAAAAAATTCCCCTTCAACTACTTTCACTACTTTCCGTATTGTATAAAAAAACAAAAAAAGTTTCCCAATTTACGGTAACACAGTTATTGCAATATAGAAGAGATTTTGACATTTTATCATGACATACCATATGGTGACTGAATTAAATTTATGGGATACAATGCGATGATTTTTCTTTTCGTTTAATCTAAGTGAAGCATTTATTCAGTCGTATTAATAATTTGTAACAACAACTTTCTTAACGAGAATGCTAGGCTGACAATTAATATGTTAAGCTTTATAAGAGTTCAGATTTCTCGTTCGGTGGACATTTATCTGAATGTTTACGTTGGCTTCATTTCCTTATATTAGATTGTAAAATACACCGGCTGTTTCACCAATATATATGCATAAATCATCATGTTATATCAAGCACGAATCATTATTATTACGCCTGAATTACTATCCATATTTTATTGAAAAAATTATTTTCTCTAAAGTTTTTAGTGCAAATAAATGAATTACTGTTTTAACAAAATGTATGCTTTAGAACGTCGTGCTACAGCGAAGAAAAAGCAACCAACAAGTTTACCGAATCCACATAATGCCACTGAAATGCAAGCATTTTTCTTGCAAGAAGTGCAATTAGGCGAAGAACTTTTAGCAGATGGTACTTTCTTTCGCCTTCAAATTTTAACAGTATCACAAGTGAAGAAAGAAGCCATCACATCACCGTTGGAACTATAGAGTACCTACGGTCTCTACAACTTTTTACTTCGTTCAAATCTTTTTTTCAGTATTATCTATCTGGGGTTTATCAATTTTTTCCAAACTTCTGTATGCTTATCTGTTTTTAATACTCAACTATAAGACGCATTCCATATCCTGAGATACTGTTTGGTGATTTATAGTATAGGAATGTGCTTTTCTTGGGAATGATTTTGTCTGTGATGCATGTTCTAGCTTTTTAAAAGCTTTCAGACAGATAGAACTTATTTCAAATTAATGAGTTGAAATTAAATTTGAACTGAGTTTTTGCTATAATATATTTGATTATTTTGTATTTAATATATTTATGTTTTATTTTTTCAATTTGAGGACACACTGATGAGGGTATTGAACATCTGTGTAATGCAATCACTCTCTGCGGTCAGCCATCACAGTTGATACAAATTTTCGAGCAAACATTACCTGGCGAACATTTCACCCTTTTGGTCCAGAAGTTACCGGAAGCTAAAATTGTAAGGTTTAATTATCTTTCCATCTCAGTTTAATAAAAAAGACTTTTAAATTCAAATGAATTTAACATTCCTCAGTATCTGTTTTAAATATGGGCTCTCTCATATATGATGTATAACTATAAGAGATTATTTCGACTGTGGTACTACCCTGTCTTTTTCATATAGTCCTGAACAGTATCAGTCTTTCCATCAGTACCACTAATGTAGACTGCGGAAATTCAAAGGAGTTTACCACTTTGGTAGAGCATACTAATATCTACATTTCTGTAATCATTAATACCTAAACGACCGTTAGGATAACGGTCAAGTAAAGCGCGTGGCTTCATAACCATGACCAATAAAATAGAGTATAATTAACATGGTTGCAGATTAAAGTGCATTTGTCTCTTTCTTGCTAAAATTTATAAACCTTATAAACATATGCAGCGTCTTATGCGAATGTTCGGTGATCATTTGGGACAAGTTGAGCGTTCACATGCTGGAGCGGAAGATGGTGAAATCCCAACAGTTGTTGCAGCACCGAGTGCTATTGAAATCAGTGATGATCTCGAACTTGAATAGCTTTTAGTGAATCACATCTTTTTCTTTTCTAGAATTTTTTTTTGTTGTTGAGAGAGCAGACGGGCAGGATAATTTAATGATAATTTAAAGCTCATTTATAAATTTTTACATATAAGTTCTGATGTCTCATTTGGTGTGAAGTGGCAGCTGTAAAACAAAACTCGTGAATTTCATGTATTCAAAATTGGATGAATCAGGATCGTTTAGCTCTGAAATAGTGCAAGCTTAACTGATAATAGTGCAAAATTCATGCTGTTCAAGATTAATTTTGCTGTTTAGTTAGTCTTTTCGAACCACCTTGCAATTATTTCGTCTTTATTTTTATCGAATGTGACTTGTACTTTCACCGAGTTTGCCTATGTCTAACGTTTCTTATCCATACAGTGCCTATAAAATTAATCTGTGTCATTGCGTAGGGCAGTATTATGGATCGCTTTTCTTAACACCAGTACCACAATTATGTGTAACGAAAAGTTATGATTTATGAAATTTTTTTCTTTACCAATTTTTCGAACAATTGTTGTTGTTGCTGTTGCTGTTTTTCTACAAAAAGAAAACGAAGTATACTTCAAAATATGTTCCTCGATGTGGTTTTACTATTAAAGTACTTTATTGTTTTTTATCGGGTGATTAATTTTGCTGATGACTGAACGAATTTCGTTGTGCTTAGGAATATTGCAAGATATCAATGTTGCAATCTGTTTTCCGATTGAAATGAGGACACAGCATGTTGTCTTTTTCATTTGATCACAAATATTACAGCAGAAATAAGGTAGCTGATCATTGGGAAGGGCAAATTTACATGAAAGGAGAAACATGGCAGGAGGTATGAACTTTGATAATGTTCCAAAAGTCCCGGTAAAGTTGTGTTAGGCACGACTTTCATACCTCTCGTGGCATTAGTTGGAATTTTATGTTTTCAGGACCTTTTATTTTTTGTTCTAAATTAAATTCATTTCATATTAGCGATGCCATATGTTAAAGTAATCCTGAGATTTTCAGAATATTACATTATGCTTAATCGTGTTTTATTCTAACTTTTTTTTTTTGCCTAAGTGGCGGTTATAAAACGCAACACTAAGTATTGGAAAACGCTAACTATCGTTAAAATTTGAATAGGTTAAGGGTCATTTCTTGATGTTGTGCTACACAATGCTGAGTCATCCGAGTTAATTTTTTATTAACGGTTCTTTATTTTGCGGTTTTTTGCATGATTTTTCCAATTCAAGATGCATCATCAATTTTGGATTTTGGATGTTAATTCACTTGGATAGTGTAATGGATGGTACTGTAATGTTCGTACATAATACTGTAATTTTTTACACTTATTACTCGTATTTCGCTTCAGATATTTCAAGTTTCTCTGCATTTTTACTGCATGTCTAATCATTTCCAAGTTTTACTGCTTCTAATCATTCCTTATTTCAAGTTTTACTGCAATTTACTAGAAGTGCATGAAGAAGGAGTTTGAAAGCTTTGCAAATTGTGCGCTATTAGTAATTTCAAAAAAATTTCACTTTTGTCTTGAAATGATGACATTTTTAAATTCGATGTCATGAAGTAATAATCTTTCTGGATTAACAAATTTATGCAAACTTGAGGAAGGGAACATTTCTTTTCCTTCCTTTTTTTGTCGAATGGCAGATACAATTTATACTTTAACCTATTAATTTAATCTAACGTGAAATAGCATATTATTGAGGTATTGAATGATTCGTTTTTTTTTTCAGTAAGTTATCATTTTATAGAATATAGTAATTTCAATAAAGAAATAATCAAGTTAATTTAACAGGTTAATGTAATATCAATAAAGAGTAGTGAAAAAAGTTACCAAAAAAAGTAAATGAGTGGGTAATTAATTGTTGAAATAAGTATTAGATAATGTAATATTTATTGTCATTATGTAATTTCATTTATATTGTAATAAAGAATTTTTTTTTTTCAAATGCTATCATTTTGTAAAAGAATTTCAGTTTCTATTCACCGTTACATTGAAATTCAACTACTTTTAAGAGACGGGAGAGAGATGATGAATAGACGAAGGAATTGAGAGAGAGAGAGAGAGAGAGGAGTGGGAGGGGGAGGGGGACAGTTTTAGTGCTTATTACTGAAGTTAGGAAGTGGACCGGTTGTGAATGGTTGCTGTATCGTTTACTGGTCGCGGTCGATGTCCTCATATGGTCATGACCGTTGGTGTCATCGTTGTCGTCATTAAACTATTATAGCAATGGTAATAGTAATATTAGTAATATATAACGATAATTACTTATTGAACTTTCTTTCCTTCATAATTTATTGTTTGAATATAATCCCATTGTATTAGTTATTTTCATTATCGCTCTTTGCATATATGCTAATAATGATTAAGATAATTGGGGTCAAATTAAAATAAATAATGAAGTAATTGACGAACTAATTTTTGGATAAAGCTTAACATCAATTGGCGGAAGTAGTCAATAATTTTAAAAACATTGTTAGTTGTTATTATCATTGGATGTTGTCACTGTTGTTGTTGTTGTTGTTGTCGTCGTGACTGCTATTGTTATTGTTGTGGTTTTTGTCATTGTTGTCGTTAATATAAAGAATTTTTATACCCAGTACCAATAACTTTGCGGATATCGTTGCAACACCACCCACAACTATGCCCTCTTTTGTGATCATTCCCTCTCCTCTTCATCCCCATCCTAACTAAATTAGTTCAGTGGTTTTGTTAGAAGAGATGGCAGGGTGTATTTCACCGCAACAGTTTTCAAAATTGTTATGTCGAGCATCACCGATTCATCCACCATCACACTACTACTACTACTCTTACTACAACAACTAATACTACCCTTCCTAGTGATGCTTCTATTACTGCTGCTATCACTACTAATACTACTGCTATCAGTACTACTACTATTACTACTACTATTACTACTGCTACTACTACTATTACTACTACTACCACTACCACTACTACTACTACTACTACTACCACTGCAGTTGTCACTGCTGCTACTGTTGTTAATACCACACAAACACTGTAGAATGTGGCGGTTCTGTGATAGTGACTGACCTGTCGCAATTGTCACTGGAAACCGTGGTGCACCTACAATTGTTTCTATATATTTTATAATCGTACAGATGTATATATAGACACACATACGCAGACATACATACATACATACACATACATACGTGCATACATACAACACGTGCATACGTACATACATACATACATGCATTCATACATACACACATACATACATGCACACATACATATATACATACATACCTACGTACATACGCACACATACATACATACATACACACATACATACATACATACATACATGCATACACACATACATACATGCATACATATATACATAATCTATGTATATGTAGTGACAGATGTGTGGGGATGGGTGATGGCCTCCTTCTAACATCCATCATCACAGCTGACAGTATCGCTGCCGTTTACTTCAACTATCGCTAGATACCCCAATTTCTGTGATTTGTTTTAAACTTGGTCTTGAATGATTTAAAATATTTGTCATATGAGGAAATTTAACACTAACAGTAGTAATAGTAGTGATAATTCAAGAAATAGAAAGATGAAAGGTCGATTAGTTAAATGATAGAAAATAACTCTGCTTATTTCATAATTAATTATTCAATGGAAACAATTTTGCTCTATACCTGTTTTCTATTTATTTAACTGCGATAAAGATACTGTAGAAAAAATATCATGAATGGTAACTGATATAACGATTGCTGGGTATTGTTGATACCGTAAAAGGACAACACAAAATGTTACTGTTATCACTGATACCGTTTAAGAAATAAACAATAATAATACTATTATTAATACTGGTAATAATTAGTTTTCATTTGTAAGAGAAAAGATGAATGGTAAGATTAATAATGATAACAATAATTTTTAGTAAAGAATAAATATCAGATAACCAATTTTACTTATTTCTAGTAATAATAGTAATAATGGTGACAATAATGTGTTGTTAATAAAAATAAGAATGATAGTGATGACAATGTTAAAATTTTGGGGATTTTGTTAATGAAAACATTTGACATTAAGGATAACAATCGACAACCATTAGCAAAGTTAATCATTTAATTTTTCAAAGTTATGAATATAAATCATTCAGAAAAACTGTTGTTATCATGATCAATAATGATGACTAATCACTTTATAGTCCTTATATCTTTTTCTTTTTCAAATATTGATTAATTTTTCCCTCTTAAACAACAAACGGAATCGATAACGATATGATGAAATAGTTGCCGTTATTATCAACACTATTAATAATTGTATGTGCTACTTAATGGCTACTGTAAAAGAGTACCGTAAATGGTAATCGATATAACGATTGTTGGGTATTGGTGATACCGTAAAAGGATAATACAAAGTGTTATTGTTATTACTGACACCGAGAAGGAGCACTGTAAAATGAATAATACTTCATCACCATGATTAAATTGCTTCTTATTATTTAGCCGGTTGTTTTAAACTGTTCATTTTAATACATTTTCCAAATTTTGAAATAAATTTCGAATACAGTAATTGTTAAATGGTATCCATCTGATTAGCAGCATCGATTCTTCGCCATTTTTTCCTTTTATTGGGCTATTATTTATTGTTGTGCTATTTGTTATTATTCCTATTATTAATTACTAATTACTAATTATCAATTAATACTAATTCTTTTTACAGTATTTGCTTAATTAATCAATTAATGCTATCGATAAATATTTGGCACATTGATTCATCCCTGCATTTTATAATCGAAATGATTAAAAAAATGTTTTATTAACTTCAGCAAATATTATTGAAATTATCAAATCAATGTTACGACAACTTTTATCAGCAACAAATGGTGTTGGCTCAGGGATTGAATCCAATAATTATGAACACTGTTCAATATATCCTTTAAGTAGTCGAAACTTTGAAAATCCAACGATAACATTACCCGCATCACCATTACCACCACCGCCATTACATTTTTCACAATCACAATTACCACCACCACCATCATCATCATCATCATCATCAGCAGCATCATCATCATCATCATCATTATCATTACCCATATCGTTATCGCCAACATCATCATTACCATCTGTACCAACAGCAACACAACAGAATCAATTCCGGATTAACGATGATGAAAACTTGGTAGTTAAACAATTATTTTTGTTTTCCTTCAGTTTCTTTTTTAATTCTTAGCTAAATTATTATTTTATTCTTTGTTTAATAAAAATTCCAATTTTCTATTTAAATACTTTGAAAACTTCGAAATTTTTATCACGAAATTTATACAAAAAAGTCTAATTTTTCTTGAATCGATTCACAATGTAAACAATTTAATTAATATATATATTACTTGAAAAAAGAAGGAAGGAAATGTGTAGCATTAGTGTTTATCTGAATTAGTTAATTAATTTCATTTGATATCTGCTGCACACACACAAGCTAATTAGCATTAATCACGTGCTAATTAAACATTAATCATCAAAGTAGTTAAAATTCACAATCGTTAATTTAAAGGAGTAAAAATTAAACACTTTCTCAACTTTTTTCTTTTCTTCAATTATTCATGCAATGACCTTTTTTTAATTTTCAAAATTTGAATTTAATTTCATATTTTAACATTGCACTTACTTTCATCAAGTTTTTTTCTTAACTCATTCTCCTCTTTCTTTTTCTACAATAGATTAAATTATTATTTTAGACTACTGTGGAATATATGTCATTAGCCGCGGGTTATAATACGCAAACACCGACAACATCAAATCATTTGGGAATTTTGGCCACAAATAACGATTTGAATGGTTAATTGAACTTAATTACCAACGATATTTTATAGTCATAGCAATGAAATAAGTAATTATACAATTTACTGTCGCACTGATGCTATTGGGAAATGAATATTAATTATTGGTCATTAATATTACTTTTATATTTTTGTTGACAAAAACTGAATAAAAAATAATTAAACGAAATAATTTTTACTAGATAATTTATTTTGATACCAAAAAGATTGACACCAAAAATATTACTATTGCTTATTTATTTGGTGGTAAAAATTGAATGACAAATTATTGAATCGAATAATTAAACAAAGTAATTTTTACTTCTCAATCTGCTATTTCAAACTTTATTAAAACATTGAATTAGCATTTATTTGACATATTTATGCCTTTATCATTTAGCTTGATTATTTTTAACTTAATTAAAAATAAATTTTCCGAAGAAGAAATTGAAATGAATTCGGGCTATATAAACAAGCAATTGTTTCCAAGTGATAACACGCTTTATTATAGTTTTATAACAATTTGTAAAACCTTTGAGCTCATATTATTTTGCATGATTCATTTTCTGGTTAGGGTTAAATCCGGAAATCCGGCAAAAGCGTTGGTGTGGCTATCACTTTTCTGAAAAAATTCCAATCGGACAGGTGGCAAGAATTTTAGGAAAAAACAATGAGAAAAGTAGGAATTCATTGATACTTTGTAAGTATATTTATTGATAAATGAAATAATCACAGTTGGAATAAAATATTTTCTTTTTCAAATTTTATTTTTGTTTTTCCAAGCAACTTGTTTTCCTTAAAATTTTTTTGATAAAAATTCATTTTTTTTAATATAATTTTTTTTGGAATTGAAATTTAATTCAAAATTTCTTTAAATATTTATTCGTGAATAATTGATTTTTCAGTTTAATTAAGATTTTGACTCATAGATTTAATTAATAAATTCGAAAATTTACTGGATTCAGTTATTTTTTTTGTTTTTTCTCTAAAGATTTTGTGTAATTTAATTTTTTTGGAAAAAATATTTCATTCACTTTTTTTTTTTGAATTTCTCCTTTAAATTTCATAAATAATTTATTTTTAGACACAACAGAATTATTTTCATCAACATATGCAATGCTTTCGGCTGACAGTGCTCTATCCTGGAATATTTGGGATGAACAAACACGATTTTCAAACAGCGCAAATGATTTTACTAACAATCAAGTAATTATTAATTAAGTTTTATTTTCGCACATTTCCAAATTAGAACGTATACCTTCACGTACGTAATATATGGCAATAAAAAATTCTTAAAATTAATGAAATAAATATTAGGCTTTTGACAATTCAATTTTCTATTAACTGATTTAGTTTTAACAATTTCGGAAATTAAATTTTTATTAACTTAATTCATTTCAACAATTTCATGAACTAAATTTCCACTAATTAACCACATTTTAACAACTACCATTTCCTTCTTTCGTTTTTATTTTCTTAAAACTACAGATATCGATGAATATAAACAATCATAATTTTGGTTATCCAGTACATACAACAGCTCCTGGTTGCTCAAATAACATTAGGTTGGTAAATATTATCAGTTATAAATTAAAATATTTCAAAAAATCAATGCATATTTATGTTAACCTTCAATTCTTTTCATTAATTAGGTTTTCCCGGAATTCTATTAGTAAAGTGAAAAAAATTAGTTTTAATTTATGATTTTAGTTTATTTTTATTTATTTTTCAGGTATCAAACATGTAATACAGGCCAAATTAATAATTATTATACAACAAATAGCGAAGGATTAATTAATGGTAATCGATTGGAGTTGCAACAATTGGTACAACAGCCGGTAATATTACCGAATAGTAATGATATTGGTAATAGAAATTATGATCAACAAGGAAAGTGTACCAGTAATATGAACCAAATGACACAATGTCGATTTTCTGACCCCAACCAAAGAATGATGATTCATACCGCGGTATCTACAGGTTAATCGCTTAATTTTTTTTTTTTCATTCGCATTACTGGAACAGGTTCTTTAGGAATATAAAAATTCTTGTTATAAATTTCCGATAATAAATGACCCGTTGTTTAGAACAATTAAATAATCTACAGTACATTTATAATTCTGTAAAGTACAACAATCATCTGCAATACAGTAATCATTTGCAGTACATACATTCATTAAGTGAATTCATCATTTAATATTCCACGTTTATTCTATCAAATTTAGCAATAATGTCATGTGAATTGTAATATATATACATATAAATATTCATTAAACACATTATTTATGTATTTATTAATTAAAAAGGCTAAAAACTGTTTGTTTTTTTGATTCTATCATAGTCAAATATTGCAAATTAAAATATTAACATTAAAAAAGAAGTAAATAAGTAAACAAATAAAATAAAATAATTCTGCTAATGTGCTAAAAGATTTCAAACATAACATTATTACTTACAGAAAAGTATTGTTGTAAGTTTTTGTAAGTTAAATTAAATTTCCTTTAATAAGAATAAATTATGAAATAGCTATAGAGGGAAAGGAAGGGAAAGGAAATTTTTGACAGGTTTTGGCGAAACATTCAACAGATATGAAAGGAAGCAGGTGACATGTATGGCGTGTCGCAATATTTACTCATCACGTAGATCACTTACTGGGCATATTGGACGTAATGAAAAATGTCGCGAAATCATCGGTGTGTAAATGCGTGATTTGACAAAGAAAAACGAAAAATATCATATAAATTTTGAACGAAAAAAAACAAATTTAAAAGGAAAAAAATAATTAATTGATATATTCATGACATTGTTATGTATAATCAAATTATTTTATTGAAAAATGAACAAAATTTATTTTATTTTTTATTCTATTTTTCTAAAATTTTCGTTTGTTTTCATTTTTTTTGACGCTGATTTTTAAAATAAACATTTCTCCACTTTTTTTTCCCTTCAATTTATTGCTACACAATACATATTCATATTTTACAGACGACATTTAATATCTTTTTGAAATTTTATCCTTATTATTGAATTGATACATTTTATCAGGATCTTATATTTTAATTGACAATGAGTTTAAAATAATTTATACATCCAAACAGAACATTGCTAATAAGTGATAACATGTAGGACCTGTTCCCGCTTTATTTATGACTTCAAGATGTTCGTTTTTCCTGCTTCTTCTTTCTTTTAATTCTTTTTTAAAACGGTTGACATTTTTATATTTCCGTCACATGCAAAAAGTTTTTTTTTGCCCATTAATGACTTGTTTAAATCTTAATTATTTTAAGCTGTACGAGATAATTATTGAACTGAAATTAATTAATATCGAACCATAATTATAACTCCATACCTATCATATGATTGCCATTTGTTTACCAAAAGCATATGAGTAAATTTCTTATCACGTGGTACTATTTTATTCAATCCTAAAATCAATGAGAATAGGATTTTATCGAACATTTACAGGTCGGAATTATTTAGACCAAATGGGCGGTTTCGTTGAAAATATACGAATATGTGATACCGGAAATACTACCAGTTCGAATGGTATCGATCCGGTTTGTCCATACTGTGATCGCTTTATAAGTCATTATAAAGTAAAAATTTTGTTCATTTACTTTTCTATCATTCTGATACAAGAATTAGTTAATAAATAAAACGTTTAATAAATAAAATATGGATAATTCAAATAATGATATTAAATGGATATTAAAGTGAGGCAAACACTTTATAAAATACATACTTGGCTTTTTATTAAGTATGAGTCATTTTTAGTTACACATTACAATAAATATAGGATGGGAAATGATTGAATCTCGGATTTGAATTTTAATCATCAAAGAGCATCTCAATGTATCCAGTGATATTTGTAAATAACTTGATTTTTGCATGGAAAATATTAGCAAAAATTTGATAACTAAAAATTTCAATTTAAATCTAGAAAATTGAAATGGCCAAAGTTCTAAATTATCATTCAACCTATTAGATTTGTTAATTAATGTGTAGAATCCTAGAATGATACAATTTTTAATAAGAATAATTAATAATAACAATAATTAGTAACAATTAATAATAATTAATAATAATAATAATTAATAATAATAATAATTAATAATAATAATAATAATAATAATAATAAAGCAATTTCGG